AGAACAGAAAAGAAAAGAATTTCAAAGCAGTAATACAAACTTTCAGTCTTTAAATCCATTTGTGATAGTGTGTCCAATCAGAAGAGATGAATTGTTGTTGAGATAAGTAGTCAAGCACTGGGTACCATTTATCTGTGAAGATTGTTTGAAAATTTTGGCTCATTCTCTGGCCTGAAAATTAATGATAATAAAATACCTGGAGATTTTGCGGGTGGAGCCTGGGGAAGGCGGGGTTTAGGGAGAGGGGGGGTCGCAGGGGAGTATAATTCCATCGAGCCCCCCCCCCCCGAGCAGCTCTTTTCTTGTCTTGTCTTGTCACCTGGAGACAAGTTCTAATTCCAGGAGATCTCCAGGCCCCGCCTGGAGGTTGGCAACCCCATCATGTGGGGAGAAACCCCTCTCACCTCAGCCCCTCCTAGCCAACACATTCCAGGGTTGGGATATTTGGCTGACACAGCAGAATCTCACCCAGTCACAGAAGCGTCCTACTGAGCTCAGTCAATAAATCTCCCCGAGAAGTATATTGCCAAAAAAGGTACACTTCCATTTATTCAAGTCGATTCCAGTTCACGTTCCGGTTGCGGTCAAAAGGAGAGAGAGAGACGCCTGATCGAAAGAGACCTTTCCCTCTCACAGACGGCCAGCTTGTCCGGCATAGTGTGTGTGTGTGGGAGTAGGAGGGCATTGGCTCCACAGGAGAGACCTGCAGAGAGACAGGTATCTCCATGGAAAGCCATGTGAAGAAAGGGAGAGGGCAAAGAGAGCGAGAGAGGAGAGGGCAGAGGACAGCTCCCAGGTTAAAACGAAGAGGCGTCCTGTTCAAGGAGATAACACCTATACGCAGTTGGAGCGACACAGCGCCCCCCAATGTCCAGGCAAGCTGAGTTGCTCACTCCAATATCCAAAAGGCTGGGTGCCCCACACTGGCCCTTACAAGTTGGACTTCAGTGTGGGTAATCCTCATCCCCACCCCAACACTTCATAGAATCATAGAGTTGGAAGGGGCCGGTACAGACCAACCCCCTGTTCAAGGTAGGATCGGCCTAAAGTCTCCTAGACATCCCTGACTTCCACGGGCTCCGTATCCTCCAGAGAAACTTGAAGCATGTGCTCCAAAGTATCCTCCTGTGTGGTTTTCATTGTGTTTTCTTAAAACCTTTTAATCCCAGAATAGGGATGGGCAAGGGAAGGAAGGCGGTCTCACCCGATCTCGGGAGCTGAGCAGGGTCACTACTTGGATGGGGGACCACCAAGGGAGACTCTGCAGAGGAAGGCAATGGCCAGCCACCTCTGCTTCTCACTTGCCTTGGAAGCCCCTTTCTGGGGTCATCATAAGTCAGAAGCTAAGCAGGGGCGGTACTTGGATGGGGGACCACCAAGGGAGACTCTGCAGAGGAAGGCAATGGCCAGCCACCTCTGCTTCTCACTTGCCTTGGAAGCCCCTTTCTGGGGTCATCATAAGTCAGAAGCTAAGCAGGGGCGGTACTTGGATGGGGGACCACCAAGGGAGACTCTGCAGAGGAAGGCAATGGCCAGCCACCTCTGCTTCTCACTTGCCTTGGAGCCCCTTGCTGGGGTCACCTAAGTCAGAAGCTAAGCAGTGTCGGTACTAGGGAGACCACCAAGGAAGGCTCTGCAGAGGAAGGCAATGGCCAGCCACCTCTGCTTCTCACTTGCCTTGGAAGCCCCTTTCTGGGGTCATCATAAGTCAGAAGCTAAGCAGGGGCGGTACTTGGATGGGGGACCACCAAGGGAGACTCTGCAGAGGAAGGCAATGGCCAGCCACCTCTGCTTCTCACTTGCCTTGGAGCCCCTTGCTGGGGTCACCTAAGTCAGAAGCTAAGCAGTGTCGGTACTAGGGAGACCACCAAGGAAGGCTCTGCAGAGGAAGGCAATGGCCAGCCACCTCTGCTTCTCACTTGCCTTGGAAGCCCCTTTCTGGGGTGACCATAAGTCAGAAGCTAAGCAGTGTCGGTACTAGGGAGACCACCAAGGAAGGCTCTGTAGAGGAAGGCAATGGCCAACTGCCTGTGCTTCTCACTTGCTTTAAAAGCCCCTCACTCGGGTTGCCATAAGTCGCTTAACTGACTGGCAAATGCAGACTTGGCTTAAATGCCCACCTGAGCTGGTAGAAAAACTTGGACCACAGCCGTATGTGGAAGTTTCACGACTAAGGAACCGCTGACTACTTTATTCTTGAATGTGTGTCGTCCCCCCGCAGCAGACCTAACCTATCAAGCCACCTTCAAGAATGAAATTGAGGCCATGAAGAAGCTGAGACATAAACACATCCTCTCGCTCTATGCCATCTCTTCTACTGGGGATCCCGTTTACATCATCACCGAGATCATGAGCAAAGGAAATCTGCTCGACTTTCTTCGAGGTGAGTCCTCCGCCTCGCCGTTTCATTCAGGGAATAGTGACTCGCCCAGTGCCGGTTTGACAACATCTTCACATGGGTGTGTATATATGGCCAGTTTGGTCTAGTGTTTAGGAGCGCGGACTCTAATCTGGGAGAACCGGGTTTGATTCCCCACTCCTCCACATGCAGCTGCTGGTGTGACCTTGGGTCAGTCATAAGTTCTCTCAGGGCTGTTCTCTCAAGGGCTGTCCTTGAGAGAGCTCTCTCAGCCCCACTTACCTCACAGGGTGTCTGTTGTGGGGAGGGGGAAGGGAAAGGAGATTGTAAGCCGCTCTGAGACGCCTTCGGGTAGTGAAGGGCAGGGTGTAAATCCAATCTCCTCCTCCTCTTCCTCTTCTTCCTCTTCTTCTTCTTCCCTGGCCACAGTGGCTTCGATATCCGGGAGCCACTCTGCCTGCTGCCACGAGGGGAGGGGTCTAAACCCCTTAATATATTTTTTGTTAAGATTTCAGATTTTTCTGCAATCCTGGTGGTCCCCCATGTTTGCAGGAAGATTTGCTAACTGTCAGCATTGCCCTCGTCTGCAGATTTAGATGTCTGCATATGGGGGGCAGACTTTGCTGTTGGATTATTTCTGGAGAGAACTGGAGTTT